ATGATCTGGAAAGTGGCCACAGTTGGGGGTATCCACGCGTTCTTTGCGCTTCCAATCGACCACCTCCCTCCGCCCTGTCTTTGGGATAACTGCAAATTGCTTAATTTATCAATCAAATGCGCAGCAAAGGCAGTAAAAAGCAGCAGAGGGAAAAGGCAAAGGCAGTGGCGGTAGTGAAATCGCAATAAGAACAGTAACAAAGCAGCTGCCGCCCGCATTCCAGTTTGCCTTTGCTTGGCATTTTAATTATTCCAATTGTCTGGCTCTCTTTGTTTACATCGCTAGCGAAGGGAGATCGCTTAATTTATTTGCCAGCGTTTTTGGCTAAAAATAGAGCAATTTATTTACTCGGCGGCATTTTTTTTTGCGCACCCAACTTTGTGGCTCATTAAGCCGTTTTGCCATTGCCTACTTAAATGGGCATTTGTGTTGAATGTGCAAAAATGCGGCAAGCAGCTTAATTAATTGGCCAAAACCAAAATGGCATTTAATTAACAAGCAAAAACAATGCGTCACACGCCAAGGGAGAGAGAGAGAGAAAGAGCGAGGTGAGGCAACACTCCCACAACATGCTGTACACACACGCTTTAAACTTGTGTGTGTGTGCGAGGTTCATTCATAAGCAGCAATGCAAACAACAAAAGCAAATGCCAGGCAACAGCCGGTGTCGGGCAAATAGGCAAAAACAACAACAACAAAAACAGTAATAAAAGCAGCAACAAAGAGCGAAGTACGAACAAAAGGCATATTCTCATTGAGAATGAGTAAGCAAACACACACACACACGATCAAACTGAGTCGAGTTCGAATTTCGAAAACCGGAGAGCCAGCGAGAGCGAGAGCGCCAACTATAGGTTGCCTCCCCCAAACGTTGAACCAGCTGTTGTGGGGCCACGATCATACAGTGGAGTCGATTTGGGAAATTAATGTTGAAATACATTTGTAAAACTTCCACATTATTTTAAAGTATAATTTTTGAGTAAATATTTAAAAAGTATATTTGCATATTAAATAAAAAAGCTAAAGATATGTACAAAAAATTATAAAAAAGTAACATCTTTGTAGATTTGAGTTTACACACTTTTTTCCCATTATTTTAAAGTATAACATTTGAGTAAATTTGCATATTTATTTGCATATTTAAAAGAAAGCTAAAGATGTATACAAAAAATAACGAAGAAGTAACATTTTGTATTATCTTGGTTGATTTTAGTTTACACACTTTTTTCCCACAGTGCGGAACGCTCAATTTCGAATGCACTCTCCCTTGCTCTCAGCCGCTCTTTCGCTCTCTTTGCTCGTATCTTTGTATATTGTATCTGGCGTTCGAGCTAACGATAATGTAAAGATTTCAACTCGCATCCCAAAGATACTTTTCGCGTTGAAGCGGCTGGTACGCGACTCTCGGGGCTTTTCTTTTTCCGTGAAACGCCGAGTTACTACTATTGCCCGCCCGCTAGTGAAATAAAGCAATTACATAAAGCCCCGGGGCATAGAGCGAAGTGCGGAGTGCTGAGTAGCAGTGAATTCGAGTGCGAATAAAGCCAGAGAAAATTAAAGTAAGCGCCAAAGCGAGTTGACAAAAGCGGCACGTTTTCGCTTTCTGCCATTGCATTGCCCACGCAACACACACACACGCACACTCACCTTTGGCAAAATAAGCAAAAAAGGAAGATATTGAAACTCCGAAGTTTAGAAAACAAAATAAAAGTTGCATTGTTAAAGAGCGAGAATCCACAGCAAGCCGGGTAGGTTCTGGCTTAATCACGGTTATGGTTAGTTTATCATTTGCATTCCTAATTAAATCTTTTATATGTATCTCTTCCTCTTCCTTCCTCTTGCCTGCTCCACCCTCAAGACGCCCCATTTTGGAGTCGTATTTCCAATCCATAATCAAGAATACTCCATAAATGGCCTTTCCTTAGATAAGATTCGATTTCATTGTTGGGAATTTCACAAATATGGCATATGTATGTACGGAGTCGATTGTGCAGTACACTCATACCCACATACAGTGGAGGTCATAATAATATTATCAGAACAGACTTTAGGACAATATATGGTCTCGTATAATATCTTTCTAGATGGCTTATAAAAGAAGCTATAGTAATTTGTTTACAAATAGATTTGTGCTGCAGCTGCTTAGATACAGAAAAACATACATACAAATTTTAGGGGCTGTTTATGATTTATCAGCAATTCCCTGAATTTGTGCCACACTTCGTGGAACTTCTAGAGGGTGACAGATATTTCGAGTCTCTGGAATGGCGGGTGGTGGCTCCCTCGAAAACATCTTCGTCATATTTGATATCATACTTGCCATTGCCCGACCTCAGTTCCCTCAATGTGTACACTTTGGTTATCGCCCGAAATGTATTTCTCAAGAAACAGATATGCGTGATATTTGCTCGAACCAATAATATGGATTACGGGTGGGTTTCGCTTCCAAACGAGACTACGTGATATTCTCGAGTGGTTCTTCGCTCGATATGATGGCGCTACTGGGGAAGCGTACTCATCCAGTGAAACCCTTCGATGGAGCTCGATTTTCCATCAAGTTCAGCGGACCGTCAAATATTTGCCTGTTGCGGTTCCACTGGCTTCAATCGACTCCAGACTCCAATTACCGGAGCACTGCTAATTTAGTGCCACCCCAGATGGCGACAGGTTGCCGATCGGGCAGTGCCTGCAGAGAAATTGTAATGTGGATAAGCTTGGCAGAGAGTGGTAACCCGAGCCGAAAGCCCACTGTGGATAATTTACTCGTGGGACCCTCTGAGGTTTCAGCTCTCCGCCGCCGCAAAGTGCAAACTCAGCCCAATGACTTGGCACTCGGCGGGAGAGAGCTGAACCAGAGAGTTAAGCCAAGTCCATGGCTACACAGGGAGCAAATACTAAAAGACACTAAGTTGGGAAAAGCGAAGCATAATTGGTTATTTCTTATAGATACTTTAAGGATAGATAGACGATCTGTAGGTATTGAAATTCAGGGTAACTCTGAGGGATAGCTCACAATTGGGAGCCCAAATCAATTAAGCCCAGTAATTTAAAGTTGAAATCTTTAATTTCTCGGTGTATAATGATGAGTCTCTGTTCAAAAACAGAAGCAAAAAGAGAGCACTATCCACGGCGGCCATGTAAATGGGTGTGTAGATATGGATGTGAATGTACCCACCAGCAGAGGCACCGGAAAATGTCCAAGTCAGTGCCCACTGAAGCGGAGAAATATGCTCTCCACTCTACACTCCCCTAACACAACATCTGTCCAGTGAATGGAACGGAGTGGAGGTTTTCTTTTCAATGTATTTTTCCTTCTTCAGTTTTGTGATTTTTTAGTGGCTGAATTGTAAATGGGGCTCATTCTGATGTAGCTCACTTTGTATAGCCTTGAGGTCTCCTCTAATTCACAGTGGACTTTCGGTCTCTGGGAGTCAACAGTCTGCGAATTAGCCATCGTTTATTTATTTTAATTATTTTCTTTGGCAAATTGCTTACTTCCTACTTATGGCTGGATACCCCTTTGCACCCGGCCATTGTTTGGCAATCAGCGTTGATTTATGTTCGCCTCGCAGCTCTTATTCGTTGATTTCGATGAGTGTTTGTCAGTCTGTTTGTCGCACTTGGCTCTTTTTTTTGAAAAGATGAAATTTTAGAAAATTTGTGCCCTCTTTCAGAGAAAAACAATGTCAAACTTGAGTGCAGCTTAAGTAGTTTCAGAGTGTTTTATGTCTTTTGACCCACATATTTAATTTGCTTTTCCACAGAATGATAAAAAAAGTCCATTCTGAGGGCTTATCTCAGCCCAATGCACATATGTATGTACATATTTCCCTATATTTTTGTTCATTTATGTCATAACAAGCTTGTGGAAATTTCTTTAAATGATGAAATTGCCATTTCTTACTGTTAAGGACTTATTCATTTATGTATTGACGTAAATGCCTTTACAACGTATTTCAATCCGCTCAATTGGCAGCGTTCATCGGAGATACTCTTTAAGAGACATATAAACGAACTCGATATAAATTGGTTTCTATTAATGAACAGAAATGATTGAAAATTGCTTTTCCCCTTTTGAGGTTCATGAAGACACATATAGAGTAAGCTAAAACCGACCGGAAATGTTTAAAATTTCTCTTTTATCTATATAACGATCATCGGCAGCCGACAAAACGAATGCTTTTTCGTGTGTGTTTGAGCCGGGGAGTGAGTGAGTTATGGTTTCTGCGAAACCCGAGATCTGAATAGAATGATGGGTCTAGTAGAGTTTGGGACTGGAATTCATTAATCTCCCGCAAACAGGGGGATGGCGCACAAAAGCTGTCGTTAAACGAACAGTCGGTGGGAAATGCACAAATACACAATGATCACTCTGGGAATACATAGAGATAGAGAGACTCTCCGTCTGTTTTGAGCAGCGATTATCGTGGCTCCAACAAGTGCACTAAGCCGAGGGGAATGGCAGCCAGCTTGGAGAACCAACACTACCACCATCATCATCATACCATTATCATCGTCATCATCATAAGCACAAGGGACTCAACTTCGAATGGGGAATAGGAAAGTTCTGGAGGGGAGCCACCATGTGCGTCACACAAACAAATTTATAAGTTAACTTGAGGAGTTCAAAAGTTTATCGTGCCCGTCGTCTTCTGGCCATGATAATGACATGCCGGACTCTGGGTGCCCGCAATTTGTAGTTGTAAATTGTCCATGAATCGACATCTTCTTTATCCTCCATCTCATTGGGTACTTGCACTTGGAATGACTGGGTCTTAATTGAAATGAAAGAATGATTACTGTGCTTGAACACTTGTAGATACATTCAAAAATATATCTTGGCATTCTTTAAAACACTGCTTAAACGTCGTTAAGATTTTGATGTTTCTGTTATATGACGAAAATCTAGGTATTCGTAATAAATACATTAAGTTTCCTCTTATCCTTTTCTTAAAATGGAATCTTTTTTAATAGCCACAACTTGTCTCTATTTCTTCTAGAACCGCGCTCTGCCCGCCAATGCCTCGCCCTTCCGCCGAGCCTGGGGACAGTCTTCCTTCCGCACGCCACGCTCCGACAAGGTGGCCAAGCAACAGCAGCCGCAGCAGGGTCACTCGTCGCCCCTGGTGAGACGTACTGCCTCAATGAACGCTTCCGACAACGATGTGTACATCAAGACGCTGATGCTCGATCCGGATCTGAAGCCAACGCGTAGCCAACAACAACTGAGCCTGCTGCAGGTGCCCAAGATTCTGACCACACCAGCCCCGCCCTCAGCCATCTCAGTGTCCGTGACTAATGCGGATTCGGCGCAGGACCACGGCGGTCCCAGCAGCTGGGGTAGCTCCTTCGAGCGGATGCTGCAGGATGCCGCTGGTATGCAGACCTTCTCCGAGTTCCTTAAGAAGGAATTCTCCGCTGAGAATATCTACTTCTGGACAGCCTGCGAGCGCTACCGGATGCTCGAATCGGAGGCGGAGCGGACGTCTTTGGCCCGCGAGATCTTTGGCAAGCACCTGGCCAACAGCAGCAGTGATCCGGTCAACGTGGACTCGCAGGCACGCAGCCTCACCGAGGAGAAGCTCGCCGGCGCCGCTCCCGACATCTTTGCGCCGGCCCAGAAACAGATCTTCAACCTGATGAAGTTCGACAGCTACCAACGCTTCATCCGCTCCGATCTGTACAAGAGCTGCGTGGAGGCGGAGCAGAAGGGCCAAGCCCTGCCCTATAATGGATCCGATCTGGACGAGCTGCTCAAGACGAATTTTCACATGGCCGCCTCCTCTAAGGTGAGTTTTTGAATGATCACCTAGAGACCAATGATACATTTTCTATCTTATTTCGACAGCTCAAAAAATCGGCTAGTAATGCGGAGGATCGGCGGCGCAAAAGCCTACTTCCCTGGCACCGGAAGACTCGGAGTAAGTCCCGTGATCGCACGGAAATAATGGCTGACCTCCAGAGTACATTAATGCCGGCGCCACCACTACCACCACCCGCCCTCCTCACCAGTGCATCCCTTAAGCTCGTCTCCGGACAGAACTCCCTGAGCGACCTGCACAGCTCACGCTCATCCCTGTCCTCCTTCGACGCAGGCACCACAGCCGGTGGCCAGGGAGCCAGCGCAGAGAGCGTGTGCTCCCTGTGCCGGGTGATCCTCACCGATGGAGCCACCACAATTGTCCAGACAAGGGCCGGAGAGACAGTGGGACAGCTGGTGGAGAGGCTGCTGGAAAAGAGGAACCTGGTGTATCCCTACTACGACATTGTGTTCCAGGGCAGTACCAAGTCCATTGATGTGCAGCAGCCATCGCAACTGCTGGCCGGCAAGGAGGTAGTCATCGAGAGACGTGTGGCCTTCAAGTTGGACCTGCCCGATCCGAAGGTGATTTCGGTAAAGAGCAAGCCCAAGAAGCAGCTGCACGAGGTGATCCGGCCCATTCTCAACAAGTACAACTACAAAATGGAGCAGGTCCAGGTCATCCTGAGGGACACCCAAGCGCCTCTGGACCTAAATCAGCCGGTGACAATGGCCGATGGCCAGCGACTACGCATTGTGCTACTCCACTCGGATTTTCAGGCAGGCGGCGGTAGTAGCGTGCCGCCGAAGCAAAGCAAACCGATGAAGCCGCTACCGCAGGGCCAGCTGGATGAGCTGACAAACAAGGTGTTCAATGAGCTGCTGGCCAGTAAGGCGGATGCAGCAGCGGCAGCTGGCAATGAGAAGCAACGACCCAGCGACCTGTGTTCCATGAAATCCAACGAAGCACCTTCGGAAACGTCCTCATCCTTGTTCGAGCGCATGCGGCGCCAGCAGCGTGACGGCAGCAACATTCCCGGCAGCAAGCTGCCCAAGCTCAAGAAGAAATCGACGAGCAGTCAGCAATCCGAGGAGGCGGCATCGCAACCAACGGCGGCCGCAGATCCCAAGAAGCCCATTATAGCCAAGCTAAAGGCGGGTGTGAAGCTGCAGGTGACGGAGCGAGTAGCCGAGCACCAAGGTGGGTAGCCTTGCAGTGCCTCCACCGAAGAACTGTCCAACTAATTTCGTGCTTTTTGTCTTTACAGATGAACTACTCGAGGGCCTGAAGCGAGCACAGCTGGCTAGGCTGGAGGATCAGCGTGGCACAGAGATCAATTTCGATCTGCCTGATTTCCTGAAGAACAAGGAGAATCTCAGCGCAGCCGTGTCTAAGCTGCGTAAGGTGCGGGCCAGCCTGAGCCCCGTTGCCAAAGTACCACCCTCTCCCACGGAGCTTCCACAGCCGGCACCCCGGCTATCCATTACACGCAGCCACCATCCGGTGTCGCCCATGAAGGTGGACCAGGACCAAGAGACTGAATTGCCTACCGAGGCGCAGGACCAAGCAGAATTCGCCAAAGCACCGCCACCGCTGCCGCCCAAGCCAAAGGTGCTGCCCATCAAGCCCTCCAACTGGGGCGTGGCCGTTGCCCACCCCACGAGCAACTATTGCAAGTTCTCACCCGCCAAACAGGTGTCACCCACATCACCCAAAGAACCACCTACGCCTACAGCGACGTTTGTGAGCAAAATTCCACTGGAACTGGGTCGCAAGGCTCTGGAAGAGGCGGCGGCGGGTTCACGGTGTGCCTACCTGGATGAGCCCAGCAGTAGCTTCGTTTAATACGGCTGTTCCCGATGCAATTTAATTGGCTTTACTGATCTTTCTTGTATATATGTCTGCACTATTTATTGACACTGATGTCTAGTGTATTCCCTACCACACACACAATCCATGACGAGCTTTCGCATGTAATTTACTAAGTGAACATGATCGTCTGTATTTATAGCTATCAACCATAAGCATTAGCTTTACTACTTTTTGTATAAATATATAAACAAACATATATCAACTATTTCTTGTATTACTGCTTAATTGTTTGCTTATTTCCAAGGTACTGAATATTGAGTTTGATGTATTATCCCGGGCACAATTCTGAATCATCGTTATTTCATGCTACGTTATAGTACACAAATCTTTTATCCTAAATGGTCGTGTGTTTAGGATTAACTAACGGGAATATATACGCTAAATCAATCAGCTAAGTTCACTCTTTATAATACGTAAATGAAAACTTCTTTCTTAGTTTCTTGGTGTATAAAAAACCACTTTTAAAACCTCCACTTTGGAAAAGTAACAGAAAGTAAGAAATAAAAACAAATCAAAATAATAATTTTTAGAAATTATAATTTTAAGCTAGTGGCGACTCAAAAACTATTAGACAACATTAATGTGCAATCTTCTGAGCCGCCAGGCGGCCCACAAAAAGTACAATCATATGGCCACAGACGGCTTCGCCCTACTCTCCACCGGGGTGGCCAGCTGCAGTTGCTCCTTTGGCTGTTCACTACCCGCTTCCAGTTGCTTGGTCTCCTCGCCGGAACTTAGCTCCTTGGGGGCCTCTACCTCGGCATCCTCGATCAGGCGATAGGTGATGGGCGCTGGCTGCTTGGCCGGCAGCCAATCGGGAATTATCTTGTCGTGCAGCCTCCACTTGCCGTACTCGTTGGAGATGTGCTTCTCGAAAACCACGTACTCCAGCACATCCTTAGTGAGGATCTCGCTGCCATGCATCAGCCGGCCAAAGCGATCGTAGATGGCCAGCATCTGCTGGCTGTGGAAGCGCACGGTGACCTGGGCGAACTGATTCTCCTTGGTGATAACTTCGGTGCAACGAGCGTGCACGACACGAGGTGGCTCCAACGACTGCAGGAACTTCCAACGAATCGTCTTGTCTTTGACGTTGTGCATCATCTCTGGATAACAGCGCTCGCTGACAAATTCGCGAATCTGGTACTTCTCCTTGGCCGCCATGTGCGTGTGCGCCTTGATGTAGATCTCCTGTGCCTCGGCTCCAAAATCGTCTGTGCTGAAAGACTCCTCGTATGATCGGATTTTGCGCACGGCCATCAGGCTTTTCGATTTCTTTTCTAGGAACTCCAGCTTCTGCTTGGCGCCGGTTGTAGAGATAAGCGACTTCTTTCCATCACCTTCGGGGGGACGTACGCCTCGAAAATGCCGCCAGTGCAGCTGATGTGGAAGGGTCGCTCCATCCAGGGACGGGGCGGCAGCACACCGCGCTCCTTCATCCGGCTCCGCATCTCTTCCTTACTGATGTCCTCCGGCTTCTCGCGCAGATTGGGCAGATCGATTTTGACGAACTTCATCTTACGCAGACGCTTGAACTCCGGCTTCCAGTGCTTGGTCTGCCGGTGACGCACCTGCTGCAGCTGAAGCATGTTTTGCACAGGAGGAGCCAAAACGCCCAGGCCACCAGACGAGGCTGCGGGCATTGCCTGTAGTTGTCAATGAAAGCGGAGTTGGTAGAGATATGTATAAATGCCCAGGGACTCCAACACTCACCTGAAGCAGCCTAAGACAAGTTTTAGCCGACACAATCTTCTCCATCGCAATTTATTTATTATGTAAAATAATAAACTTTCGGCTAGACCTGCGTTTTGTGCTTGAAATTTTCCTAAAAATGCCTATTTTACCCCACTAGGGCAGCTGGTCACACTTATGAGGAAACATCGATGACAGAATAAAATAAACTTTAATCGATTGTGCAGAGATCGAATACACAAAAAGTCTGTTAGATTTAAACTATATTTACAAATAGGAATTTAAAAGTTTCAAAGGTCCGGTTTGAGGTTAGCGCCTATGTTTCTAATTTGAAAAACTTTAAATTTCGGCAAATGGCTATGGGAAATTAGGAAACAAAAGGTGCGTTCCAGTTCGTAAGCTATCCATCCTCCTCCTCCTCACCTTCCGCACTACACTCACAGCAGTCCGGTGGTAGGTCATCGAGGAAACGATAGCCTGCGGTCTTGAACATTTTGGCCTTCAACTGGAGGAGGGGACAGAAGCTACTTGCATATATTGTCTCATCAACTAACTGGTTATACTTACCATAAGCTGCTTGTACTGACAGTCGTAGGCGTTGATGGCAATGTCTCGCTTCCGGAGCTCGTTGCGCAAAACGTCGATCTCCATCTGCTGCGACTTGGCCCGCTGGGCGGCGCTCTTGGCGGCCGACACCTCCTGCTGCATTTTTTGGCATCGACACTGAGAAGAGAAGACAGAATCCATCCATAGGATTTTATTGAATTCAGAATTCGATGACTTACTTTGAGTATCTCCTCGTTTCCTTTCGCCTTCTCCACCTCATTCTCGTAGTAATTCTGCATGTCCTGCATTTCGCGTTGCATATTATCTATGCACTGGTTCTGCTCGTGGAGGTTGTTTTCGAGGTCGCACGAGTGGCGAGCCGCCTCGTTGGCATTTTGCTCCAGCTGGTTGACCTTATCATTGAGCTCTGCTAGATCCTTGCATTTCTTTCTCAGGGCATCGCGCTCCGCAAGGATCTTCTGGATGTTGCCTGGATCCTTCTCCGGGGAGTATCCTCCCTTTCCGCCACCCTTCATTTTCTCATCCTCCGCCTGACGCAGCAGCGTCACCTCTTTTCCCAGATCATCGATCTTTTTTTGCAGATAGGGAATGTCGTTGCTTTTCTCCAGGTCGATTTTGACGTCGTCCAGCCGGCACCTCTTCGACTGCTTTTCGATTAGCCGCTTAAGGTTGCCGTTCTCCGCCTCGAGGATGTCGTGGGCCTTGTTCATGTCGTCGATGGCCTTCTGTAAGTCGGCAAGTTCCTTCTCGTCCTGCGGAGTGATCTTGCCAGCATCAGCTAGCTCTTGGATCTTCTTTTTTAGTTCCTTGCTCTTTTGGGGATCGTATCGCTGGTCCATTATACGTTTTATATCATCCCGTTCCTCCTTGGCCGTCTTCAGTTTATCATTGGAATCGGCCAGCTTCTTCTGTAGCATATTGTTCTTGATCATTAGGTCCTGCATTCGTCCAATTGTGTCGTCGGCCGCATTGATCAGGCTGTCGCCCACCACAAGATTACTACCGTATACATCCTCTGGACTTCCATCACCATCCCTTGATTTTGGTGAACCACTCTGTCCGTCACCTGACGACTTTACAGGGGTGTTGCAGGCTACCAGATCGGCAACGAACTGTGACTTTCTGTCCTCGTTGGCAGACCATGACCTGTCGTCCACCGTGGACGGATAGGTCTTCAGTTTAACGCACGCATCGACGCACTCGAACTCGTAGGTCTCGTTTTTAAACGGCACGTGAAAGAACTCCCTCTGTGTGGAGAACGCCATGGCTGGGCAATGTAGGGTTTAACCAGAAAGAAATCTAATTTTTGTGATGGCTCCAATCCAATTTAAATTTGAAATAAAACACGTCCGACATGGATTGAGTCCTCAAAATATCTATATTGCTAAAAGGATGACGATCACACACACAAACAGATCGGACCCAGCTAAGGGAAAGCATCTGACACCCCGCCTGCTGGTTTGCGACGATTTTACAACTAGTTAACAATATTCATTCCTTTATTCCAGGCCTTGGGCACGCCGCTCCGCCAGGGTTTCGTCCACAGAGTTCATGGAGGAGAAGCCGCACGGTTGCATGGTCATGCTGGCCGTGCCCGAGCTAATAGTGCGCAGAGCACTGGAGTAACCGGATAGCTCGGCCAGTGGCGCATTTACCAGAATCATCTGGGAAGGGATAAGCCCTTAGAAAGTCTAATAGGGTCTTGAAAAATTTCGAAACTCACTTTGTTCCGGTCACCTTTCGGAAGGACATCATTGATCAGGGCTCGCCGTCTGGAGAGGTCAGCCATAATCCCAGAGATACGTTCACTGGGCGCCACAATTTGCAGGGCCATAATAGGCTCTAACAGACGCGTTCCACTCGTGCTGAGCAACTGTCATACAATAAAGTATTATGAAGACACCAATAAACGTCATTTAATAATATTCTATTTACCTTTTGGACGCACTGCGCCGCCGTGGCCATGACGAAGGAGTCGGCGGTACCCCGGCCAATAGTGGCATTATGCAGACGAATCTGCGTCTCCACCACCTGTCCACCCACGCGAGGTCCACGCTCCAAGGCACTGATGGAACCCTTCTTCAAGACCTGAAGAATGCGTGGACGCAATGTGTTGAGGTTGGGCAGATTTTCTGGAGACTTATCTAAGCTTTTGTGAAAGATCAGAAATAGTCAGATTCGAGTTCTAGAGGAGCTTGAATTTAAATCACCTGAACAAGTCGCTTTGGTCCCTCACTAGCTCCATTGTAATGCTGACATTTTGCTTGCTGCCAGCGATTTCCTTCTCCACGCTCAACGTCGTTATTGCGGGCGACTCAATGGTCTCTTTATAGGCGATCTGCAGTGGTCCCAGTTCGACGTCGATTTTGTACTCACTCAGGATGCGCGACTTGATGATGTCCATATGGAGCTCGCCCATTCCGCCGAGCACCGTTTGTCCAGTCACCGTATCGTAGCTAACCCGCAGACTGGGATCCTCGCGTTGCAACTGTCGTAGAGCCTGCTCCATGGCCGTTTGTGAGGATATGCTGGGTGGTTCGATGGAGCAGAAATACACAGCATCTGGTATAGGCGGATCCAAAGAGAAAAGCTCGTCTGATTCGTCGGAGTCTTCATCTTCCTCGTTCTTGCTCGAAGATGTGCCTAGACTTTGCTTCAAGCGTTTCTGAGCATTTTTAAGAGAAGACTGACTCGAGGTCAACAGGTCACCAGTCACTGTTGACTATGTAGGGGATAATATTAACTATTGAGTCAGTGTATTGAGTACTCCTTACCTTTAGGCCCGCACATATGACCACATCTCCGGCCTGCAAGGAACTGACCTCTCGATATTCGTCTGCTAAAGGCTCATACAGTTTAGACACCACCTCCGCCTGGCCACGAGCAGATACAAGGCGCATGCCACGCTTTATCTCCCCACGTAGAATCCTCACCAGCGTCAAAGGTCCTCGCTGCTTATCATGCACAATTTTAAATACTTTGGCAGCCACCTCAGATCTGCAATGTGGAGGCATGCTAAGTGTTAAGGAATTATCCAATGACACTAAGTATTACCCGAAGCAATCGTAGATCTGATTGCGTTCTTCCGGCGCCGGCAAATAGTCATTCACTGCATCCATCAGCCGCTGAATGCCAACGTTTTTGTACGCCGAGCCTAGGAGAACGGGAACCACCTTCTGCTGACATGTTGCCCGTCGAAGAGCCCTATCAATTAGAGCGCCATCAACACTGGCAAAGCTTTCCGTGCTGATAACTACGTCAGCCAGTTCATCGTCTAATCCCGACAGCGTATCAATCAGTTCGTTACGCCTGTCCTGCAGCTCGCGCAGTTCATCCGAAGGCTCCAGTTTGATTCTATTGTAGCTGCGGCCCAAATCCTTTTGCTGCCAGCTCAATTGCTCCAGTGTAATGACATCATTAATGGCTGCAGGGAAATCCAGTTCGATATAAATATTGTTACTGTTTGTGGCAAGTTCCTACCCAACACTCCATCCTCGCTTTTCACAGGATACTGTAAGCATACTGGCTGCGTTTCCAGCTTTGCTTTCAGATCGTGAACACATTTATCAAAGTCTGCATCAGGACGATCCATCTTGTTGACGAATACAAGACGAGGAAGCTTGTGCTTGTCCGCCTGCGTCCAAACGGTGACTGTCTGGGCCTCCACACCAGCCGTTCCATCCAAGACCACGACCACACCGTCCACGGCGTACAGAGATTGCTCCACCTCCATGGTGAAGTCAATGTGTCCAGGTGTGTCCAGCAGATTAATGCTAAATGGAGTATTAGTGAGAAAGCTGGGAGCAATAAATACGCGGGTCCTTACCGGTGGCCGTTCCAAGGAAATGTAACTGCTGAGCTGCATATCGTTATGCCCCGCTCCCGCTCCTGGGTTAGGTAATCGGTCACCGTATTACCGCGATGCACTTCCCCCAAGGCCCGCGTCTTGCCCGCATAGAACAGCATGCGCTCTGTGGTCGTCGTTTTGCCTGAAACGTGTTTATTTGACAGATAACTTTACTAGGAAATATCATTTAAAGGCAGGTAACTCACCTGCATCGATGTGCGCCAAAATACCAATGTTTCTGATTTTGCTATTGTAGCTTCGCTGCGGGATATAAGCGGAGAGCTGCCTGAGCCACCTGTTGCGCTGTTGCAAGCCATTTTGCCAGGCATATTTGAGCATTTTCATTGATAAATTAACTAACAAACAAAACAGTTCCAAAACAGAGCCAAATCAGCTGCTTGGCAGCAACAGCTATCGATAAATGCCGCTAAGCAGCTGGTCGCAATCGAATTATTGAAGAATTTGCGGCTTGAATTTCGGCGTTGCTAAATATTTATTTCCCTCCTTACCGGTTTTATTTAATTTAAGCATAAAGTGTATGGTTGTGATAACTGAATAATCCGTCAAGATTAACTTTCCCTTAAGATTGATTTCGAAAAAGTAAGAAAATAAGCGTAGACCAACTTTTAAGTGGATTCTCCTGGTCTGAATCTTCATCCTACGGGTTTGTTGACTAATTAAAAATGTCCACACGCCCGCGACGAGCCGCTGCTAGTAGACAAAAGTTGGTGGTTGAGCTATCCGACTCGGAGGCAGATGTTGAGTCCCAGGAGGCCGATGAGTACAGGCCACGAGAAGCGAATAACCGCAGGGTAGATCGCGCTGCTGATCGCTTGACCGGCAGGTAAGTGGGATAATACCCTCAAGTTATGAACTGGCTTGGAGTAAGACTAATCCTAAACTCATACAGTTCAACTCGTAAGCGTTGGCCCACTTCTAAGAATGCAGCCGGCGAAGAACCAGCTCCCAAGAAAAAGCGCGCCAAAGAGGGGAAAGAGGACGAGAACGCCTGTCCCAACGAGACCAACGCAGAGCCGCAAGAAGAGGCACCTCCGCCTCCAGTAACGCAGCCAGATGGAGCTGCTGTCAGGCCGTCGACATCAGGCCGCAGTTCTTTCTGGGAGCGCCGCAAGGTATGGAACATACACGAACTGTTGGCCGAGACGGAGAATATCCAACCGCAAGCAGCCAGGAATATTGTGCAGTTATTTGAGAACGAAAACACCATTCCCTTCATATGCCGGTAGCTGTGGTATTCATTCCTAGAATCAATAGATACCAATTAATGTATATTCGTAGCTACCGTCGAGACCTGGTAGACCACATAGCCCCGGATCGGCTACGCGATATCCGGAACACCTACACGGATATCGTTGACCTGCGAAAGAAGGCCGAAAACATTGTCAGTCAGTTGGAACGCGAAAAAGTACTCAATGCGGACATTCGGGACGAGCTGATGTGTGCAAAGACGAACGAGGAACTGGAGTTCCTTTACGCTCCCTACAAGCCGGCCAGCAAGGGCACCCTGGCAGAGAGGGCCAAAGCCCTGGGCCTGGAGGTGTACGCCGACCGTCTGCTCTACGGCACTGCACCCAAAGTAGATATAAAATCGATTGTGGACACAGCGAAAGAGGGCTTGGCAACGGAAGCCCTCGTAATCAGTGGAATTTGCAACATTATAATGCACAACATTAGCAAAAACACCAATGTTTTGGAGGAGATCCGAAGATTGTAAGCCTTTTATTTAGATATAATGTTGATATATTTATAAGTAATGCGGTTCTGCAATTTCAGACAAAGTGTCCATCGCGTGTTCCTGAAGTGCAGCAAGACAAAGGAGTCGACATCGTCCAAAGCTAGTTCAAACAAAACTAGCAGCAGCAAAGGATCCAGCGGCATTGTGGATAAAAAGTTGGACAGCTCCAAATTTGAGAACTACTTCAACTTTCAGGGTGACATCAAGACCATAAAGCCGTATCAGATGCTGGCCATCAATCGTGGCGAGAAGCACAAGTTCCTCTCGGTAAAAATCGAGACGAGCGACTATCTTAAACGGGATCTGATGCGCTTCATAACGGATCAGTACATGTCAGAAGGTCTGCAGTATCCGCTTCGGAGAGAGATCTTCACGAAATCCCTGGAGGAGTGCTATTCAAAGAAGTGTAAGAAGAGTTTTGAGTACTCAATAAATATAGTGTTAGTAACCTAATTCAATTACAGTGCAGCCTCTAATGTGCCGGCAGATTCGAGCTGATCTTAAGGAGAAAGCTCAGAAAGCAGCCATCGATGTTTTCGCCAAGAACCTGAAGCAGCTGCTATTGATGTCACCCTTGAAGGGCGAACGCATTTTGGGTATTGACCCGGGTTACACCAATGGCTGTAAGCTGGCCGTGATATCCGAGACAGCAGATGTGCTGGACACGGGTGTTATCTATCCACACGGTGCCAGGGCCAACAAAAGGGCCGCAGAGCAAAAGCTGATTCAATTTCTCTCTGAGCACAAGTAAGCCCAGCAAGTTTGATTCACTGGGTTGTTATAAGTGTAAACTTTACCTTTGCAGCTGCCAGATCATTGCTTTGGGAAATGGAACTGCCTGTCGCGAAACTGAGCACTGGCTGACCGATATGTTCCATGCTGGAATTCTGGATAGTAGAAGCATCCGCTACAGCATCGTTAACGAGAACGGTGCTTCTGTTTACTCCTGCAGTGATGTAGCCACTAAGGAATTTCCCAATATGGACACGAACGAACGAAGTGCAGGTTTGAAAATTTGCCAAGTCACCTAAACATTTCCCACCCTGGTCTCCTAACCGATCTTCTTATAGTTTCCATAGCTCGTCGCCTGAATGATCCGTTGAGTGAGTATGTAAAGATAGAGCCGCGACATCTGGGCGTCGGCATGTATCAGCACGATGTCTCTGAGAAGACCCTGACGGAATCATTAAAGGACGTCGTCTCCGAATGTGTCAGCTATGTGGGCGTGGACCTCAACACCGCCAGTTTGAGTGTACTCAAGTACGTCTTAGTTAGCGAAGAGTCGTGGCAAAAATTAATTACTTAACCCGTCGTCAAACAGGCACATTGCTGGACTATCAGAGAAAAAGGCGGAAAAGATCATAGAGCATCGATCGCAGAAGGGACCTTTTAAGACCCGGAAGGACCTGCTATCAGTAAGAACTATAGGCGAAAAATCATTTGTACAGTGCGCCGGCTTCGTGCGCATCGAGCCGCTAAGCGTTGGTGGTCATCTGCAAAACCCCTTGGACTGCACCTGGGTTCATCCCGAAAGCTACAAAGTGGCGGACAGGTAGGTGTCCGATTAATAATTAACTTTATTGCTTAACAAGGAGAGGGGAGATTTACTGCCTTTGCTTCTGTCTCTGCTCTTCGACCGCCTTCTCCAGCTTCGAGGTGTCGCTCGATTCTTTCGCAAAATCACATTCGTCCAACGCAATCTGGGCGAACTTTGAATTAGTATGAACATCGCAGGGGTTGGAGCGTTGACACCAGCATGGCAGATAAGGCTTTAAGGGATCTTTCTTATCGCACCGTTTGCATGTGCAGTTCTCCATGCCGAAGCTCATAAATTCCTTGAAGTTGCTCTCCTTGGTCAACAGTGCCAAGTAGTCCTCGACGGAGTGCTCCTTCATGGGATCCATAAGTTCCGCCCAGGACTTCATCTTGACAATCACACCAAAAAAGTAAGTGTTCAGGTCTTCAATGGCCTGCAACACTTGGTCAAGTTCCAGTAGAAAGGGGCTTTTCAGGGACCTGTCTAGTCTGGCTAGTCGCGTCTCCAGCTCCGGCATAGATTCGCGCATGTACAGGAAGGCTGTCATGAGTTTTGTGCTAAAGGCTGCAAAAGTTAGCGATTACAATGACATTTCTGCCATTTTGTTACTTACTTAGACTCATTAACGGCGTTGTAGGCCCGTTGAAACTCGCAGAGGGCCCGCTCTTCGGTCATCCGGCTAAGATACTCGGGGTACAACTTTGTGCAGCCGGTACTGCCGACAAGGAGGCGATACCGCACACCGTGATACCGCATCTCCTTCACTTTCTGGATCTGCAGAGGCTTCGCCTTCGCCAGAACTCGCGTCAAATTGGCCAATTTGCGGTCAAGGACGAGGATCTGCTGGTGAACGCACTGCTCCAGCTGGAAGTCACCACGGGTGTAGGGACTCTTGCAGTGCTCGAACGTGGGCTCTAGTAAATGCAAAGGAATAGTCGAGCCGCGGCAGGGCGGCGGTAGAGGACGACGCTTGTATCGCTCCGGCGGATACTCCCAGCAGACGCCAAGCCGTGTTTCAAGGGGCATGGCAATGGGATGGTCCCAACATGCCTTATATACGGGTCTCTCGTTGTGGCCGTAAATGGTTTTATCGCCGCAGAAGAAGGGCTCAGCACCGCAGAGGATATCGGTAACCTTGCCCGTCGGCATTGGCGGTGGATAGTGCCAGCGCTCATCATATTGGCGCTGCAGCGCGGCGAGCTTCGACATAGCAAAAATGGGAAATTTCAAATAAGCGAAAATTCTAAGATCTAAACCAAATTTGTATTTTCAGTATTGTGGCGGAATGTGACATGAAACTGAAGGATATAGGCAAGGCTAACTTTATAGCACGTATCAAGGAGTTTGCCGCATCGCAGCCAAAACTAGATAGTATGGCCAAGAAACACAAGTTGCCCATGGAAAGGGTAAGTGAAATCATAGACAGGGGTAGTGATAGTAGGATAGTATGCAATACTACTGTCTCCGTATCTTAAAATATTTTCGGACGCGTCGATTAACTTTTTTTTTTCAGTTGGAATTCGTGCTGATTGCTCTGCAGCGCGAATTGCTGCAAGATTATCGTGCCGATCTGGACAAGCGACCGCTCTTCAAGCAGGGCCTTACACGGCTGGATGAGCTCAGTATAGGCGATGTGGTGACCGGTGGGTAGTGATCTTTAATGGATTACCTTTAAGCACGCAACTTAACCAATCTGTCTGCCTGTTTAGGAGCGGTGACTAACGTAACCCAGTTTGGCGCCTTTGTGGATGTCGGTGTGGAGCGCGATGGGCTGATACATAAGAGCCATATGAACAACAGCGAGCTAAGCATCGGTGATCGCATTGTGGCATCGGTGGTAAAGGTGGATTTGCAGCGACGCCAGTTGGGCCTGCGGCTGGAGAATATGCTGGAGGAGACGGACACGTCGTTCACCTTCAAGGTGGAGCAGTAAAAACAAACGACTGGGACTTAATGCTTTTGGAAGTATTTAATGAGTCATATCGTAATTGTTGGGTTGCTCACAGGAGCATTCATATATATACTATATATTGATCATATATATATGTATATGTGTATATGCATACATAGTATAACGGCTTTCCTAACTGTACTCAAAGCTTATCTGTTAGTAATAAATGTTCACATAAAAATCACCATCTCTACAATCTCCTCCACATCGCTCTACAAATGGGTTCAAGTTCTCTTAAATGAATTGCCAAAGGGTGATTTATTGCTTTAAAACTAAGTGTGTTGCCCTTGAAAGCCAGCTTAAAACGGTTTTACCAAATAAATATACAATATGCATTCATTTAGGCGCTTGGTTTGCTTTCGATGCGTTTTCTTAACTTCACTTTAGTTGGTTTGTTTACGTTTTTGTTTCGAATTTATTGCCGTTTTAGTAGAGTTGTTAAAAATAATTATAAACAATGTTATATTATCTGCATTTACATAATTACACAATACAATATATTATAATATATTCAAAAATATATATGTATATGGTGTATTTAAACTTATTGTTCCTCCTCCTGCTTCTCTTCAGGCCGTTCACGATATCAATTTCATATTCTAGCTACATGGACATGTCGCGTAATCAACCGATAATTGTTTGTGTAAATAAATATATTTGACCGTACATAATATTGGAGTAAGTGTGTAATGTAATGTGATAATGTGTAGCAAAATGCCAATAAACAAGTCGTACGCAAAGCTTATCAAGTGGTATGGTAATAATTGCTCAGGGTTATGCTAATGCTCCTTCTTCTCCTCGCTGCCATCTGCCTTGCGCAGAGATATTCAATAATTTATAATTTTTATTTTTATCATTTATAATGATAGCATAGGTAATGATGTAAGTATTGTTTATCAACTCTCGTAATAATAAGTCTATGTGTGTCTAAGCAGTTTTCATTCTCGTTCTTCGTCAGCAGCCATTCAGCAGAAGAAAATATGATTTAAATAAATCGAATCAAATCGTGCATATTGCGTACAACAGATGAAACCGATATCATCGTGAGACCCAAAATTTGAGTCCTTGAGATTGAATTTGGGAAAATCTTTCAGCCAAATATCTTCTGATGAACGATCTTCAAAGGTGAATCGTTCCTCCTTCGCAGACATTTCAAATTCTCGGTTATAGTTAATTATCGAGTGTGTTCTTCGTGTTGGTAGTCTAATTATCTCAAATGATCGATCCTTAACTCGCTCCTTAACGGTTACAGTTACAGTTAAAGTTAAAGTATTTGAAGTGCACAGATTCCGAATTACTTCAATGGCAGACACGGCACAGCCGCAACGCTTGAGTGTACGTACAGTGTACGAGTGTGTGTGTGTGTGTAGAGGTGGAGGTGTGTGGTGCTGAGTGTATGCGAGTGTGTTGATGAGCTCCCGGCGGAGGAGGCAGCGTGTGGCATTTCGGAGTATTCTATTCAGATTCATTCGTGTGGCAGTGCCTGCCCGCTCCTGCTTCTCTGGAGGGAAGACAAAAAAGATAGTTACATGCTTGATCGGGATGTGTATGCTGGAGGAAGTCCGACATGATATATCGAAAAAAAATCGTATATTTTGATTTATCGAAATATTTAAATATCGAAAAATATTCAAGTTCAAATTTCTAAATTATCTATATTAATTACCGTCTTTTTCGATATACCGACTTCCGTGATAAATTGCAATTGGGATTACGTGGATCTGGACTTACCGGTGGCCAGGATGCGCAGGATGCGGATGTGTGGGAAGTGTGTTTGTGTGTTGGTTGGTGGTATGCGAGTTGGAAATGATCGAAATCAAGAGCGAAACGAAACGAAATTATTTCTTTTTCTTCTCTTTTCTGCAAGTGTAGAACGAACGTAAAGGTAAGCGGGATTAGCATTTGTGATTTGATACAAAACATAAGTCATTGATGGGTGAAATTCGTATATAGTATATATAGATTCGCACTAAGCCAAGCTGGACACTGGAGAGTTAACGAGTTAAACATTGGGTATTTTGGCATTAGCCTGCTCACATTCAAGACAGGGTACGGTCGGGTCGGGTCGGGGCATTTACAGGGAGAACCTCTCTTGTAGCGACGCTAGCCTCCTGCGTGCTTCGTGTGATGTGCTGTGACTGTTGCTTATGCTGTTGTTGCTATGGAGCATAAATCTTGGCATGAGACTAAGCTGGCTAATGGCTTTTCGAATAGAGCAAGCGCCGCCAGAGGGGGCTGCTGCAGCAGCAGCAGAAGACATCGAGCCATCTGTAAGATTGAAGAATTCTTCCATTTGGATTTTGCTTTTGAACGGGTGTGAGTTGAACGCAATTGAACGGGGTAACGAAATGCAACGGGGGCAACGAGTAACAGCAACTGGTTTGTGGTCCACCTAGGGTCCGTCGCCGGGTTAGCATGAGTCTCATGTGGTGTTGTTGTGATGTGTGTTCTTGTGTGCTCATAACCATCGGTTAAGGTGAGTGTGGGATGATGATATTTTCTGCGGGGTGTGTGCGGAGTTGTACAAATTGTTTAATGCTATTTGGTAGGTGAGAATGTGTCTGGTAAGTATTTTTACTTAGAATGCTTTTAGCTTAGGTTTAAACGCTAAACGACTGCTACTGATAATGAACCACATTTCGTGTTTTTCTACATATTTCTTCGCTCAATTTCATTTATAAATATATATATATATATATGTATATATTGTAACGCCAAAACTTCGGTCAGCTACAAGTGCTACAAAAAACAGTTTGTCTATAGTTCTACGGTTCTATTCAAATCTTGAACCGAATGCTTTTGTTAGCTTCTAACTAAGTTCCTAATTATCATTTACGAATTGTTCATTGAGTTTTCACAGCATGTGGTGTGGGTGTGGTTGGTTGCTTCCAAAATAAAACCAAGAACTAATTACATTAGGGATCTGATCTGGTCTTCGTCTCCTCGTGGTTTTAATTGCCTACGCGCAACACTTAGTCTGGGATTCAGTTATTGTTTGTTATACGTAATTATTGTAGTTAAAACTATTCAAAATAAATATTTTACATCTGTGGGAATGAAACGAAAGGAACAACAACACTCACGAAATATATATTTACACAGAGATGGGGAAACACATTAATTAGATCATAATGGTGGAAATAGTACAGTAATGCCAGCAACACAACAAAACACAACAGCAAAGCGAGTCCCGGAGCAGGTAATGCCAACAGATATTGGTCGACCCCGAGATCCGGGGAGCTCTGCGGAACGAATAATACAAGATTAAGGGACTCTCGGGGAGCACATAAAACACAAAATAGCAACACAAGCAACAGATAAAGAATGGAAAGGATGCGAACAGAATAGAGGGCCGATCGGAAAGCGATCGCTTAAACCACACAAGCTGAGAAAACTCCCATTACGCGTCAGCCAATGTCCTGCTGCACATTGCCGGAGGACGAGGAGCTGCTGCTGCTGCCGCTAGGGCGTTGTTGCTGACTATACCTGTTCGTTGGCGGTGCCTGCTGCTGCTGTTGCTGCTCCTTCGGCTGCTGCAGGCTAATACTTTGCGGCGTGGAAGGCGGGCATGCGGTGGTGTTGCCCACTGGGAATGTGTCGGCCTCTTCGTCGTTCGCCGCCGCCTGTGCCGGCTGTTGGGCCTGCAGCTCCAGCTGTTGCTGGTCCGCCAGCAGCTTGGCGCTTAATATGCTCACGTAGGTGCGGTAACGACGAATCTGCAGGATACACAAAGTTAGAGTAGGGAGCCCCCGGAAATGTACCACCCTTACCTCGTACTGCAAGTAGCTCTCCTTCTCCTTATAATTCTGCAGAGGCAGTCCCTTGCTGGGAATCGGACCCTTCTTGTGCTCGTTAAGCTCCTGCTCCAGCTGGGCCAACTGCAGCTCATGCGACTCTAGCTGCTCCTTCTGTAACATGAACAAATGCATCATGAGATTAAAATCTTGGAGAAGCACTATCTCTCCCTAGTACCTACCAGCATCAGCTTGGACTGTTTGCTGGGCAGAAGAGGACGCTGGAATCTCTTTTGGCTACCCACACCGCCTTCGAGAGGTGGCGCCGAAATTGCCGCGCACACGTAATTGATGGTCTCCACCCACGACTGGAGCTCCTTGGAGTCGCTGGTCTGGAACAGATATTCGGCCTGATCGGCCGTCTGAAGACGGAACACATGTTGCTTCTTGGTATAGTCGTTGGCCTTGGTGGCCAGTGCGTGATGTATGCGTATTGCATTGTGCAGATTGTCGGACATCTGTGCATTAGAAATGTTAAATAAATTAACTTATCTGATTTGACCTGTTTTCGCCATGAACTCACTTGACTCTTGCGAAAACCGTGCTCGTCTTTGTGCAGATACAACACAAGATCACGCAGCGTGCAGTAGAACATCTTCCAGGAGCGTTTTCCAAAGGGAGCTGCAAAATACGACGACAGAATATTCGCATGAGAACCTTAAGCAACGGTTTATTTGTAGAATGTCACTCACTCTTCTTGGAGCTGCTGTCGTAGCAGCATTTACGCATCACATAACCCTTTTTGTATTCCACAGCCGTAGCCAGTTCGGGCGGATCAAGGAAGGGATTCTGTCCCACATTGCCCTGAGCACTGTTGTTGGATCTCTGTTGTTGCTGCAGTTCAGCTGCATCCTCATCGCTAAAAGAATAAATAATTATTAAAATATCTAGCTTAATAGAGACTTTCGAGTCATATTCAATAGTTCAGACTTACAGTGCCCATTCCAGCGGCTTGGTCTTGATGGCCTGATATAGAAACTTGAGCACATCCTTGGGGAAGTTCTCGCCATCGTTGAGATCAGCCAGATTGTCAACAAACTCCGCACAGCTCATCTTGCGATTGATGTTGGCACCGTGCAGGTCCGTATTTAACAGCATTATGGCACAGGTGAGCGTGTGCACGGCGTCCTGTGAGTTAAAGGTGCCCGGATTGCAGTCGAGGAAGCGCTTGGAGAAGTGCACCAGCACCCGTTCCCGTTCCTGTGTCTCGCCGGAGAGCGAGAATTGTTGCAGGAACTCGCGCAACGCTTGGTCCAGCGACTTCTTCTCGAAGGTGAAGTATTTCAGATACTCATCGGCCACCGCCCGGCTAAAGTCGTTGCTGTGGAAATGGAGGAAGTAGACCAAATTGGAAAACTGATCACGGAGATTAATTTTGGGTACTCACTTTTTGCTGAGGTGTCGGGACACGTCGCTCTTCTTGAAACCGTCGAGGGAGTGCAGTCTTTTGGCCAAACGAATGGCCGAGGGCATGTCGACGGCCTTGGGTGAGTAATGATACGAGTGGAGCGACTCCACATCACTACCATCGTCGGAGACGGGCGGAGATCCGTCCCGCAGTCCAATGCCCGTCGTGCCGAGCGGTTCGTCCGTCAACGTGATCACATCCTCCTCAGAGCGGCCGTTGTTGCCGCAGCTACTGCTGTTGCTGTCCAGGCCACGCACTTGGATGACCACCTTGTGCTCAGACTGTTCCCGGTCGCGATCCCTCTCCCGCTCCCTCTCGCGCTGCTGCTGCTGCTGGGCACGCAGCTGCTGCTTCAGCTGCTGGCGCTGCAGCGCGGCTGCGTCCGAAACGAGAATGGTGGAGTCCGAGTCACTGGGATCGCTAAGTACCATGCCGCCTAGAATATCGCGAGAACTCAATAAATTATCGTCGTCTTGGTAGTCGGGACTAGAAATATTCGAAATGGCCTCTGAGACGCTCTGATCGTTGTTGCCACCACCACCAGTTACACAACCACCACCACCAGCACCGCCATTGCCACCGTTGTTTACGCCTGGGCAGCTAAGCAGACCGGGCATCCCGCCGGGCGGCTGCGCGATGTGACCGCCCTGTTCCCGCTGCTGTTGTTGCTGCGCGGATGTGGGACCGTTGCTGCTGCTACCCAGGCCCAGGGCGCCCTTAGAGCCAGACGAGGACATCACCGAAGAGGACACCGATGTAGGCGATGCCGGACTACCCACAGCCGAATGCTGGGGCGACGAACTAATGGAACTTGAATGTGAATTTGAATGCGATTGCTGACCGTAGAATGTCTGCTGCTGCTGCTGCTGTTGTTGCTGTTGCTGGAGTTGTTGCTGCTGCTGCTGGAGATGCTGCTGGTGTTGCTGCTGGAGCTGCTGTTGGTGCTGCTGGAACTCCTGCTCCTGAACCTGCTGCTGTCGCTGTAGGGCCGCCAATTGATGTGGCTGCAAAGGCGCATTATAGGTCCACACGATGCGATCACGATCCGATGCCTAGGATGCGCAACAAACCAGGGATTAGTAACAAAGAAATAACAAGTAGATCAGATATTGTTATATATATATGTATGCTCTATGGATTTTATGTCGGATCTCGAATTTCCATTGGCCGGCCGCTGCCCAATCTCCCAAGAGCGGGAGGAGTCCTAACAAATTTTCCGAGTGCCGGAAGCTTTAGGTGTCTGTGTCTGTGTCCTTGTGAGTGTTGGATACAGGCTGTTGGGGTGTTGTTCGAGTGTGTGTGACAAGCGTTATAGAGTGGCGATGTTTGTTTTGCTCTCTTCTACATACAAAACTCTTTCCAAGCGCAGGCACAAATCAAAATAAGCAAAAATCGGAACACAATCGAAATGAAAAGTCACATTAATCAGCATGCCAACTATGCGAATGGCAACCTTTTTGCATAAAATATAGTTTAGTTTGCTGCTGCAGTTCATCGTTCTTGGAACAGTGGTTGTCGCACAATTTCCCGGGGATTCGCTGTTGTCGTTGCCGCAGTTGTTGTTGTCGCCGGCCTTGGTGCTGCTGCTGCTGCTGCTGTTTCTTCGACTGTCGCTGTCGTTGATGTTGCTGCGGTTATTGTTCCGCTCACCCTCGTTGTTGTTGGAGGCCAGTGACGATGAGGAAGAGGAGTTGTTTACAATTACAGTGGCCATCGACTAGAAAGCTCACGGGGACAATAAATTGCGCATATCAAATCGATTCGAGAAGAGTAGCCAAAGTAGGAAACAAGAGAATGGAGAACGGAGAACGTAGAACAGAGAACGTAGAACGGAGAAACGAGAAAATGAAAAGAAGAAAGAAACACGAAACCAGAGAGTAAGATAGACAGAGAGTAGTTTAGTAGTAAGTAAGTATAAGTAATTAAGTGGAAAGTTCAAAGTAACAAGTGATCAAGAAAAACGGTGGCTCTAAGTCTAGATCTAGATATAGGTCTAGGTCCAGGTCTAGGAAGGATGGGGTAATGATGATACAGATGACTTATATAACAAATGCATTGGCTAAAACACACGCACACACACATAACATGGACGGGGGGACAACAGACTACAGAAACCAACAGTTAACGTAAACCGAAACTCTACATAAGCGAAACTTCTCAACGGGAGCGGGAAACTCATTAACTACGAGTCGAGGGGGTGTCAAGTGTTGTGGGAGAGATCTGCCGGGAAATTCGACGTTGGCTCTAGCTATGTAGCTCTATCCCGGCTACGTCCAGCGTAGGTGGACTGTCCTGCGGAGTAAGAACTGCTGCACCATAGCGACGACTCACCTGCGAGTCCTCCGAGTCCTGGCGCGTGTCCAGCAGCGTGTTCAGCGAACTATTCACATCCTCATCGATGTCGATGGGTATCACGGCTGCGATGCCTTCCCGCTGGATCTGCTGCAAATGATCCTCGGATTTGCTGGTGCGGAAACCGGCGGCATCACATTTCCGCACCACATGTCCATTGTGCCGGCGCACTACTACCGCTCCGGCACCGGCACCGGCGCCACTGCCTGAATCCTGCCCGGCCAGAGAACTGGGCTCCGGACTGGTGGGCACCGAGTTGGCCGTCTCCTTGTCGATCAGCGGCGTTGACAACGAGATGGGGGAGGTTGGCACTGAGAAGGAGGTTTCGTCCAGGCCCAGGCCACCTGCCTCACTCTTAACCGTCGTCGACGATGATCCCGAACCGGAGCGCACGGCACAGTCGACGGCGTCTCGGTGCCGTTGCTGCTGTCGGGTGGCCGTTCGCTGCTTGAGGGCACGTAATCTCTGCTTGGCTGAACCGGAACCCAGCGAGTTGGTCGAGTAGTCCTCATCGCCGGCATCATTCTCCTCATCATCGTAGGCATCATCGTCGTCGTCGTCTACCAGACACTGCCGATCACTGTCGTCCTCGTCACCGCGCCCCAGTCCGCTCTGATAGGTTTCGATGTTGGTGATGTCGTAGTGCGTCTGGTCTTCCTCGCGCTCCTCCACCTCTTCCTGCTCCTCTAGCTCGTCCTCGTTTTGGTAGTACTCGTAGCGTTGCTGATTCTGTGGCTGGCGATATCGCTGCTGTTGCTGTTGGCGCTGCCGCTGCTGCCGGTTGTCCTCGTCCTGGCCGTACTCGGCCTCCTCGTCCCGCTCCAGCTCTTCGCACATCAGCAGTGTATCGTTAGTCAGCGAATCCTTGCGGTTGTAGCTGTTGTTGATGCTGTCCCGTTGCTGCTGCTGTTGCTCTGGCTGTTGCTGTTGCTGCTGTTGCTTCCGCAAGATCTTGGCTTCACGCTTCACCGAATCCGAGCTGGTGTTGGTGGGCGAGTCCACTGACGAGGAGGACGTGGGCGAGGATTCGCCGGATGCACGCGGTGCAAGAGCGCCGTTGATCCGGGGGTTAACTAGACGACTGGGTGAGTCCCGTAGACTGTCCACCTGCAAGAAAAGTGTCAAGAGTAATGGCATATGAAGTGTGTCAATCTTGCTCACCTTTTTGGCCTGGGCGGGCAGGAGATTGCTAGTCTGCGGTGTCCGGGACAGGTTGAGTATCAGATCACCGGTCATCATATAAGCCTCAAAACGTGGCGCCTTCGTCGGCTGTGGTGGCGCCGAGTTCGGCTCTGGTTCCCGTTCCTGCTCTCTTTCCGTGGAGAATCGCTGCCGGGTAACCGGACTGCCGCTGTAGCTATTGGAGTGCTGCAACGACTGCGGCGGCAGCTGGGCGGAATGCCCGATCCCGTTGCCGTTACCGTTTCCGTTTGCTGCCTTCGTCGGAATCTGCGAGGGACGAGGCCGCTTATTCTGGGGCGAATGGAGTATGGGCACGGGCTTGGAAGCTGGGCACTTGAGCGCCTGTGGAATGCGTGAGGGGCGGAAGGTGGGCGAGGTGGCCTCCCCTCCGGTGGGCGATGTCGGACCGACTATACCCGTGATGTTGCTGGTCGTCGAGGTGGTGATGCTTGTCTCCACCACCTTGATCTTGGTGGAGCTGGCCGAGGAGTTGCGGCTGTGGGTGAGCGTGTGCGAGGCGGTGGTCGTGGTGGTGGTGGATCCACTCGCCAACAAAGGCGACGAGGTCTGGCGCAGCGAGGGCAAGTGCGTGGGCGACTTGTAGCGCAGTCCGCTCTGCGTAGACGTGGGCGTGGATGCCGTTCCCTTGGCACCAGCGGCGGGACGATGGTTGGGCGAGGAGTGAGGGCTGCTGCTGTGGTAGTCGTAGATGTTGGGCGACTCAATGTCCACATAATGCGGACTCTGGGTGTTGGCTAGCTGCTCTTTGATCCGGGCCTTGAGCTTAGGATCTGCAAAAAGAACCGTGTTGTGGTCTATTAGTCATATCTTAAACAAGGATGGAAGCTGATCTTAAGTGGCCACTAAGGTGGTGAGCAACAATATGAACTTTGACACATCCAAAACTATAGACATTTAGACATTAATTCTTTTAGAGTCCATCAGTGCTTGAGTTCATTTCAGTTCAGTTTGGTTTGAGTCAGTTTTGTTAGGTGTTGCTGCATAACAGGTTTGCATCCTTGAGTTGGCAGACGCATTTCCACCTACCTCGCTTCAGCTCCAAGGTCACCAGCTGTTCCGACAGGCGCAGGCATTTGAGAACTATTTAAAAAGAAAGAATAGTGTGTGTTTAAGTATTGACTGCTTTATCCGCACACACTCCACTCCCCACACTCACCTTCCTTCGTTGTGTAGCGATGGACATCCGTGCCGTTGACTTTGAGGATGACATCCCCGGCCTCAACCTGCAAAGATCCAAGAGATTGAGTGGGCTAATCATTGACGAAGGCAAAGAGTACGAAAAGAGGATGGGAATGGATGGATCGGAGGGTACATTGTATTGACGAGAAAAGCTTATTGATTTTCCCTCGACTCGCGCTGCCTTTTGTTATTATTATTCGCATGTTAGGCGAAACCCCGGCTGTCGGCACTTGTAAACTATTTTAATTTTCTTCTCGATGGGCCTTCGCAACGCGTGGAAAAGTGGCAACACGGCAACGCGGCTACGGCGGTGAAGAGCATGAAATCACGCCGTGGGACGACATTGGCGCCTTATTTACTTGCTGACGTACAACGGATGAGCTGACGGAGCAGAGCACTCGGTGTCCGGGGCTGGTACGAGAGTGGTACGTGGAGCCTTCACCTCCGGCCAGTGACAGCGGAGGCGCTCATAGATTATTCAATAAATATGCTAGGCATTATTAGTGCCGGGGATTCCGTCGAAAAGCGCGACACGCGCCAGTCATTCAGTGTTTCGGGGTTCATGCAAAATGCACAAGGAACAGAGAAAATTACTTTCTATATACTTTTATTGCATAATTAGTTTGACAGGCCTCCCGACTTGGCTTTTATTATTTATGTTATGGCCCGCTGAAGACGGTGGAGGAGGACTTTCTGTGCAGTCGGTGCGTTGCAGGAAGTTGTGTGCGCCTCCTTGCGAGACACTTGACGCGGGACTGTGGCTGGCAATTAAAACTAAAAGTCGCACTAATTCATGCTCTCACAAATGCAGGGCTCGTGGGGCATATGGTGGTTATATCCAGCTGCACGAGAGCAGTCTGCACGAAGAGAGAGCTAGAAATGGGGCTGGGAGAGAGCCATTCGACCAGAGAACTTTGCAGCCGAGTCAAGCTCGCTCCCCCTTGCCAAGTGCACTATATATGTTGCTACTCCGCCTGCTGCTGCTGCTGCTGGGGGACGGCGATGCAATTCAATTAAAAACTGCGCTTAAATTAATTGTGCCACCAAAAATGGTTGCCTGTTTGTGATACGTAACCCCCAAGAAAGGGACTGAAGGCGAGGTGTGGGAACCGCAATTTCTAGGCAAAAGAAAGTTCGTAATGCAAATTTGATGTTTTCCCCCTGTGGCAGGCAGCATCTGCATAAGCCGACAGCACGACCTTCCCTCTCCTTCTGGCCAACCACGGTGGAAACATGTTCGCCGCCTTTGATAACAAGCCGCGATTAATGGCTTTCGGCGAGGAGGAAGCTCTCTGAGATTCGATTAGGCACTATGCCCACACACACATCTAGACACAGCTGGGACAAGCAGGTGTGCGCACTTATACACGCATGCAAAAATTGCTTTTGCATTTCACTTTCACGCTCCGAAGGGGAGCAGCGAACGATAGCAATGAGATAGGACTACAGTGGAGCATGGGTAGGTTTGACACAAGGCAGAGTTTAATAACTACAACAGCAAGAACAATCCAAAAGATACATTATTTCAAGAGACCTGCACTTGAAACCGATTTGCCTTCAAGGACTTAACAACTAAAGTACTTGTACTTGAAATTTTCGGTAGAACGTGTTGTGGTCGTTAGACACGATTGCCTGCCAATTAAGCTGGAGCTGGAGTCAGGGGGAAATGCAATCCATCTCAGGGAAGCTCGACTGTATACGACTGGAATTGAGATACTTGGGCCCCCCGGGGCCAAAGTTGTTTAGCCGGGCAGGCAGTCAAGCTAGTCGAGCAACCAGCAACCAGCAACCAGCAACCAGCAGGCTGCACAGTTAAGAGTTAAATCAATCAGTTACACTCGGCTGCCGCTTGTTGCAAGGCCCCTCTCCATCTGACTTTCCTCACATCTCTTCTCTGCTGCTCCGGTGCAACGTTGGATTGCTCAAATTGAAATTGGTCTGAATTGATTTGTTTTCACATCCAACGACACCAGCGACAATCGAGGAGAGTCTTCTTCCTGCATTCAGGCAGGCAGCCACTCTTCTCTCCTTTCTGCAATGTCATCGGCATGCCCCTATTCCAGAGAATAACAAAGCCAACTACTGCTGGGGAGTGTTGCAGATACGAGGGACAAGTGGATAAGCCGCCCTTTTCAAATGGGAATAAAATCAATCTATGTTGAGGGCTGGAAAATGAGATCTCCGGGTTTTAGATTGACCAAAATATAAGGCTTTGGACAGTATTTATTTAAGTTTGTCAGGTTCAGTTTTCTGCTTTAATAAATCAACCTAACTTAAGTTTGTCTCTACAAAATTATTTGTTGTTGATAAATTTATTGAGAAATAAATGCCTTATCTTAAAATGACAAACTATCAAGTAAACTATGAATGAAATCTTTGTGTTTGCGGGAACTATCTTCAGATCAAGTCAAACCTCGACGTTATCGGCAATTCCCAATTTCCCACAATAAGTACAAATTAATTGATACTGATAAGGCGCGAACTACATACATTGCCCTGATGTGTCCATTAGATATACTTAACATACTATTTAGCATTCACGTCACATTCGGCTTTCAATTATCGGGTACTTGAAGCCGCAATTAATGCCAAGTGAACAATGGTTTTGTTGGATTTCATTGTGTTTTGTTTGATTTTTTTCGGGGGTCTCTCCTTCGTGCATTTATAATCGAGTTTGCCAGTTTACCAGTTTGCTAGTTTGCTTGTTTACTTGTGTATGTTTTGATTTTGGTTCAATGACGCTTTATTGACACGAACTAAACCAATATCAATTAACAATAGCAACAACCAAACCCCGCACAGCCGAGTGGGCGGTAAACAAGGCGACTGATTGATTGTGTTAGTGGCAACGACGACGACCCAAGTCAAGTACGGTTCCGTTCCGGGCACTACCTTCGCCGTTATATGCCGCACGGTACGGCGGTTTATTTGGATGTGGATAGTCTATTGCCGCAGAGTCGTTGACAGACTGCAGTAATAGGAAAACCCACTAACCTCCTTTTTTCGCCGGAGCCGAGGAGGAGCCCCAGAAAATCAATGTTGAGGCAGGCAGTCAGATAGTAGAAGCCCCCACGTGGGCGTCGCAATTGACGCACACACTGAGCAAACGGTGGAAATGTTGAGGGTCGTAGTCGTGGACTGACAAGTGGTTGGAAGGGTGCGGGCTGAGACAGACACCTGGGACTGGGCCTGGGACTGGGACTTGTGGCTGACTCAATCTACTGCCTGTTATTGGACTAATGATTTTGCCACTTCTTTGGCTATTTGCATTCTACACGGTTTCGCTTTCGCCTTAGCCGGCCGCTTTGTTTACCAGTTCTGTATTTCCCCAAGGCGTTAGGTTTACATTGGACATCAATCACACCGCCTATTAAATCTACAAACTGAATAATTTAAAGTTTAAAGTGAATACGAAAAGAGCTTTTCTGATTACTTTTAACCCAACAAACTCAATTTCTAACTTTATTCTTAACTAACAATTTCTTACTCCCCAGAATGTAATCAACTCCCAACTCCAGTTACCCATTTCAGAGCTATGCCAAAAGGGGTTTCTCTTCTTTGCTTAATGCAGAGACATCTCTTCTTACCATGTTTGATTAATAAACAAACATGTACACAGACCATGGAACAACAACAGATCAAATAAATAAAGGCATACAGCAGCAGGCAGACCCAATACTCAAATGAGGCCCACGCCGCTTCTGTCGCTCTGCTTTATTTATTTCGACGACCTTGCAGCTATAGCCATTCATTGTGGATTTCCTTTCATATTTGCACCAAATAAAAAGGGGGGAGCAACACAAATTAGCATGAATTGGTTTATTTCATTACCACGCTCCGGTGGGTGTTGTGTAATCGCGGGAATCGGAAGTCTCGGAACGGTCTGGATCGCTAGCGATGTTATCGCTCCGCCGTTTAGCTAAATAATTCCGGTGATGCGAGGTGTTCCGACGGCCCATTATGTTAATATTGTGTGAACTGGCACCGTACTGCGATTGGAGGAGAATTGAGTGATTCACACCCTGTCACCCTGGCACTGAAAAGGTGGCAATTCAAGTGGGTTGGGGTCGAAATCACCTGCTGAACCTTCTCTGAAGAGGGCTTGTTCCCTTTGTTTTTCTGGGGCAGGTTTGCTTGCTCAATTTCTAGGTAATTATTAAAAGAGATTTCCCTGATGTTTTGTCCTATATTTTCTCTTAGCAAAAGTGGGAAAATTTGGTGTTAATATGCTCTTTTTAACATGGCTTAACTTGCTCACAACATATTTATATTTTATTAGGTTATATTTTTTTTTTAAATTTCGGCTTTCCAAACCTAGTGTTCTTTCATATTTTTAACAAGAATTATAAAGATTATGTTTTAAGCTTCAATATTTTGTGACTCATTTTCTCAACATCTCTAGGGTATTATAATATTCGTAGCTTTGGTCATGCAGCTTTTCTTTTTCAATTAATTTTTGCATTCGTTTCGTCTCAAGTTTCAAGGCTGAGTGTCGATTGCGTCACACAGCTTGTTATATTTTATTGAAAGCACCAAAATCAATGATTCATCAAGCTACATTACGCTCCATAACTTTATATTTTCGGCCATGTAAATATCCAAAAAATGTGTGCACTTTCTATGGCTCTCACTCTGCCGGAAAATGGAAATAGCCGAAAGCCATGGAATTTACAACACTTGGGGAGGTGAGTGCAAGGATTTGCATTTGTTTAAAACGCGTAAAAACGAGTCTGCAACAAGAACAAAAAGACCCCAACAACAAATGTTTTTCAAACAAAAACTTTTTGCTTTTATTTGTGTGTGTCGTGTATCTGTGTATAATCTGGTGCCTACACTGTGTAACAAAGATTGCAGGTTGTTTTTCTATAATATAAATTTCATACACAACAGAGTAGCACTCTGTATTTTTAGAACTTAGCAAAGATTGATTATTATTGATTATTAAATGAATTTTTACGGATTTGTACATTTCACCCTAATATCCTGAAACCCAAAGCAAGACAAACCGAAATTTTGAACCTTTAGTAACATACCTTTTAGGTAC